TGAAATGTCAATTCTACGAGAGATTTTACGTGTACTTAAAATAATAAATAAACGACTGAATTGATATATTTTATTTTTAAAGTAAAAATATGTTACAGTACGTTGTAAAATCTCGCCAAGTCCACCATCCACCATTCCTATATTCATTCATAGGTTTCCCAGAATTAAATAGTATTCCAATACAGCACATGGGGAGTTTGCACCATAACTTCTCAACTGGTTAAGGATGTTGGGAAGGACAATGTTAGGAAAATTAAGTATGTTAATCAATTTAAATTGGTAAAATATGTGATATTTTATTAATAAAAAATAAATACGTTAATTAAAATTTAAATAATAATTTAATTATTAATAATACATCATAGAATTTATAAATTTAATTTAATAAATAACATCCTTAGCATTACTCGAGAAAAGTAAGTGACAAGGGATTATGGGTCGGGTTGGTGCGCGTACGTGTGTATGTGTGGGATTGATAATATTCTATACAAAATTAAACTCTCTGTCTCTACATAAACTTTTGTTGGATCAGTTAAAAATTGAAAAGAATCATCAATGATCTTGATAAAAGTTTGATCCAATGTCACACTAGCTTTGCTGCTACTACTCTCATGCCATACTTAATCTTTTATAAGTATTTAGCCGTTGACCATAATAAAGATTTTCAAAGCAAAATAACAACTCTTGTAAAATATTTTAATATATGAAATCACTTTTTATTTTCTGAAAAGAACAAATGATCTCATCAATAGAGTTTAGTTGTGCTCCTTTTGTTTTTTTTTTCTCCGCCATAAAAGGAATTAGTTGGTGATTTTACTGCGATAACATATTTTTTTACAGACTAGAAAAATTTATAAAGATATTTTAGTCTCCTCCTAATGATTAGTTGTGTTCCTTTTCGGCTGGGTTTATCTGCTACTTCTCGTGTTTATCACCCCTTTAGACTTTTTTTTTGGTTTTCAAGTCCTTTTGGTTTAGAGAGACTTATATTCTCTTTGAAATTTATACATTTTCTTGTTATTGTAATAAATCGCTATTGTTACACCGCAAAGAAAAAACAGAAAGTAAACAAAACCCTAATCATACTTCTAAATAAATTAAACATGAATAGGTCCAAGATATTGCATGTATGGATCGAAAATTACTTATATATATGCCATTGTAACAACTTATGGTTTTGGTGGATTATGAAGGGGGTGTACTTTTATATATTGCTTTGATTTGCTGGTGACCCAATTTTTGTATGGAGATGCATGATTGAGTAGTTAAAGAAAACCTTGTAGATACCTAGATCTCTTATATAGGCTAGCAATAATTTTGTAGCCAAATGGTGAGCTAATTGAATTATAAAATGGACAAGGATTGTCTGCCCTCTCATGTCCTCCTGTTTGTGTGATTACGGTTAAACTATGTCAATATTTTATATTACTATTTATTTTTGTCTTATTATCTATATAAAAAAATAATATAAAATATTAATGTGACTTAACTGTGACCACATAAAATAAATTAACACGGAAAGACACCAGAAGTAAAATAGCAGACAATCCTTGTCCTTATAAAATACCCCATGAATCAATGTTTAAACTTGGGCCGGAGATCCTCTTATATTTTTTATGCAACACAAAAGTACAAGAAGGGTCTAAAGTACTTGTATAATTAGGGTTAATTATAAATTTATAGGGCACAGCCGGGACATGGGGACCTTGGGAACTACAAAGAGCTCCCAACCCACGTGGAGATGCTAGAGAATTCAACACTGGCCTCTCACCTCTTTTTAGATATGAAGAATTATTTCAGGGTGCCGAGAACACGATTTGGTACATCAAGTGTCATAATACATTTGGCTAGAAATTTGAAAGAAAAAAAAATTCAATCAATTATATTATAATATTTAATATACATAACCGTATTCTCGGTACATTGAAGAATCTCTTATAAATATGCAAGTCTTGTAGGAAATCCTATAAAGGTCCTACTCATGACTTGGAAATGAAACATAATATTAATGCAATTGTCCTCATTGTCTCCTCCATAATCACAAAACCAACATACTCAGTGCTCTTAGGCCATTTCCAACCGAAGGGTCCAGAGGGCCAGAGGACCGAAAATAGCCCTAAAACCGTCTCCAACCGAAGGCTAGGCCAGAGGGCTCGGGAATCTGGGAGGGCCCCACGGGATCGGAGAGGGCTGGAGGGCTAGAAGGCTGGCTGCTTTCGGCCAGCCAGCCAGCCCCGGGCTGGCTATTTTTTTTTTAATGTTTCTCATTTATGTTGGTTATAACCGACAGAAATAACAATTTGAATTTAAACTTCCAACGGCTAGCGCCACTAGCCGTTGTAAACCTTTTTTTTTTTTATGAATTTAAACCTTTTTTTTTCTTTTTTTTTTCTATAACTTCCTATAACTTCTATTTTACAAAATTTGTTTCAATTTTTTTAATTCTATTTTTTTCCTATAACTTATATTTTACAAAATTTGGTTCATATTTTTTTCATATAACTTCTATTTTACAAAATTTGTTTCATATTTTTTTTTAAATTCCATTTTTTTCCTATAACTTCTATTCACAAAATTTGTTTCATATTTTTTTTAAATTCTATTTTTTTCCTATAACTTCCTAAGCCATTATACAACATTAAATTAAATTAAGTAACATGAAACAACATTAAACAATATGAAACAACATTAAATAACATTAACCAACATGATTTTTAAATAAAATTAAGTTGTAGCTTTTAAATAATAAATTATGTTTGGCCCTATGGCCCTTTGGCTCTCGGTTGAAGACGGTTTTTTGTGACAGGGCTAAAACGAGCCCTCTGGCCCTCTGGCCCTCGGTTGGAGACGGAGGCAAATATGGCCCTGTACTGTTCATTAAAATATTAATATCTTGGAGAATCTTGGAGGGCCAGAGGGCTAAAACGAGCCCTCTGGCCAGCCATCGGTTGGAGATGGCCTTATGATCTATCTTGGATATCATTTCTGAATTATGATCTTGTTTTCATTTAATAATAGATAATTGTGAATCGTGATTACCCTAATCTTCAATAATTTAAATTCTAATAATTCACTGTACAATATGATCATTGTTTGGTGTGCTTTGATTGTGTTTATATTTGGAGGGAATTTCTCATTATAATTGGAATTCTTTCCCTTCCTGTATCTTCCAATATGATTTGGGATTAAACATCTTCAAGTTCGAAACAATCAATCTATATAATCAGTATATATGCTCAAAACATGCAAGAAATATTCTCCCTTATCACAAAAAGTTATTGGGCCATTCTAGAATACACTCATGAAAACTCAAACTTAAACTCAAATATAAACCGGATCCAACCTATCATATATTTCAAATTTATTGAGCCTAGCATTAAGCTTCTGTATGAAAACTCGAATATAAACGCGGTCCAATCTATTTATATTTCTCAAATGATTTGATTTTAAATGTGTTCAAGTTAAAAACAATCAACTTATGCTAAAAAAATGCACTAATGTTTTCTCGTATGGTGAAAAATTATTACATGATACTGAAATTTCAAATTAAGTTGAAACTCGAATCTAAACCCGATCCAACCCACTGATAAACAAGGAAAGTTGCATATAAATATAGACAAGCCTAAACCCCATGATATTGTACCATATATATTTTCCCCTTATACACTTGTGGAAACCTTTTTAAATTGGCATATATGACATTGAGAATATCTTGACCATAAAGTTTTTTGCTTAACAAATTCAAACTATACTAGTGATGATGTCATCTTCATGTTTAAATTACGTGCCTCTTAAGATGTTTCGAACGTGTTTAAAAATAGATAAAATAATATTTAATAAACAACTGATTAAAACACATTATTGCTAATTTATTGTGAGATACTAATTATTAAAAAAAACTGTACAAAAAGGATTAATTATTGAAAAAACACAGTTTATATGATGAAAATACCCCTGCATTATTTGGTTTGCTTTTGAAGTTTTTGGTTTGAGGGGCATTTCTGTCTAATTATTTTTTGTGAAGCTTGTGACCCCATAAAACACTGTTCATTAGGCTGTTGGCTTTATATATAAGCTATATATATATATATATATGTATGTATGTATATGTATATGGGTGTGTATATATTTATATCTCACCCATGTTTATGTTTGTTTATTAGCTACTCTGGTGTTGATGAATCTATTGAATTTGCTTTTTCTACCCAACAATGCCTTTTTTTCCCCTTTTTTTTTAATAAAGTTCACAACTTTATATTTTGCTTGCATGCATGCATGCATGTGGTCACATTTCAATTTAATAAACGTTATACGTATTGGTCTAGCTGTTTATCATGTAACTTTGTTTCTTTCTGTTGATTTTCTGAGTGTTGAAAAGGTTTCTCATGATGCAGTTTAAGAAGTTCAATGCTTGTATAACACAATGACATAACTGGTTTTAAACTTGGGCTGATATTGCATATTATGTTAGAATGGGCAATTGGTTAGGATTATGGGAGAGTTTAAAGTACAAGTAGCACTATTGGTTTGGATTTTACTTTGTACTGTGTTTGTTTTACTTTGGGTCTTTGTACTTTTGCAAAAAGATATGTCAATATTCTCGTTAAATTGTCACGTGACGACATTTTTAGGGGTATTTTTTGTTAATCCAACCCTTCACTTATTGAGGATATTTACATATTTTTTTATATTGAAGAACCAAAATGAATTTACGGTAGGTAAACTCAGGAACCACTTCTATCTATTTTCACTATTAAAGATCAAAATAAGGAGTTATGCTAATGTCAGAGATCATTTCACCTAAAAACCAAAACAAACAAAAAAAATTGTTCAACAAATTTTACTCTTCAGATGTGATCATAAAATGGACCAACTAGCTTTTGCATATATGGCCTAAATAGGCTTTGACCCTTTTGAGTCCATCCCATTAGTGAGTTTCGGCTCCGGCTTAAACGGCCCAATGCAGCAGATTGAAACCGGACCGGCCAGAGACTGCCTAATCTTTGAGCAACGCAAGACAGACGCAGTGCCACCACAAAAAGATAAGGATTTAAAGCCCCACCTTTCAGTAGGCTCATATCACTCGCCAGCAGCATAGATAGAATAAGCTTCACAGACTTGGGAACTCCAATTTGCTCAATTTTTTTTCAAAGGTACAAAATTCAGCTCCATCTACTAATTGGGTGTTTTAAATTCTCCTCCTTTCTGTGTTTGGATGAGTTTTCAGTAATGGGTTTTTGATTTTTTGTTAGTTTTGATTGTTTTGCCTTTGGATATTGTAATTTCTCTGTTTTTTTCCTCACTTTTTTGCTGGTTCTGTTCTGTTTGTAAATACTGGATTCTTGTAATGTTTGCTTGGTGTTCTTGTTTTACTTCAAGGTGTCATTGAAATGGAAGAGAAAGTTTGGTTCTTGTTTTTCAGCGAGTGCGTACAGTAGTTATGAATGGACTGTGCACATAGGATTGGGGGATTGGGATGATTGTTTGTCTGTTCAGTGTTTCGGTTTGATATGGATATAAATTAGTTCGAAATGCAAGTGTTGATTTTGTTCAATAGTCGAATTTTTCGTTGCTCCACTGAACGTATTAGGTAATCGACACTTGATAATTTTGGTGGAAGCTGTCAAGTCTATATGTTTTAGCACTTGTAATGTGCTTTTGATGGAACCGTGGAAGGATGTATTCTCATGGCTTGGGATGTTAGCAGTTGTATATGTACTTTCGGTGGAAACATGAGAGGATGTATTCTCGTGGTTTCGGCTGTGTTAGCACTTGTAATGTGTGTTCTGAAACAACATTCTTGATACATGGAATTTTATGACTCAGGTGAACCAGGTGCATTTGAATTGATATGTTATCTCTATCTTTATTCTCATAATTACACAACTTGCTCGATATCAGTATCATTTTGCGTTATTCCTAACAGTTTATTTTCATCGCACTTTGGATGAATCCTTCCGTTTTGTTTATCATTTTGATATGCTGTGCAGGTGTGCAAGGAATGAAAGTCTTATGCTAGCAGGACTCAACTTCTACTTTTTCAAGTCAATATGACGCCTGTAATTCCATATTCTATAAGCAATGTCTCGCATATACCTGGAACTGCCTTTACTGCAAGAAAGAACAGTTGTTTAACAAAATTCAGTTTTTCGAGGAAATCTGCAAGACATACTCTATCCCCACAGAGTTTTCTTTTACCTTTTTCGACCTCTATCAAATCTTTTCCATTGTACCACAGCAGGTGCCCTGTGCATCATAAATGTAGAATCCCTGTATCTGCCACAGGAACTGATGTAGCGGTTGAGGAAGCAGACTCACCAGTTGCAGATGCAGCTTCTAGTGAAGCCAAATCCCCTGAGGATAGTCCCAGCCCATCTCAAGATGCTCAACCAAAGCGTACAAAACCTGTTAGGAAAAGTGCGATGCCGCCTGTGAAGAATGAGGAGCTGGTTGTGGGTGCAACTTTTACTGGGAAAGTAAGATCAATCCAGCCATTTGGTGCTTTTATTGATTTTGGAGCTTTCACAGATGGACTCGTACATGTTTCACAATTGAGTGATAGTTACGTTAAGGATGTTGGAAGCGTTGTTTCTGTTGGGCAAGAGGTGAAGGTGACGTTAGTTGAAGCCAATGCGGAGACTGGGCGGATCTCTCTCACTATGCGTGAACGTGACGATGGCAGTAAGCCGCAGCAAAGGAAAGATGCTTCTGCTGGTAGTGATAGGGGTGGACCTGGTAGAAGGAGTGGCCCAAAGAAAGGAGATAGGAAAAATGAGGTGAGAAAAACTACAAAGTTTGAAAAGGGGCAGGACCTAGTGGGCACTGTAAAGAATTTCGGCAGGGCTGGTGCTTTTATATCTCTTCCTGAGGGGGAGGAAGGATTCCTCCCTACATCGGAGGAACCAGACGATGGATTTGCAAATGTCATGGGAGAGACCTCCCTGCAGCTTGGCCAAGAAATAAATGTCCGTGTCCTGCGTACTACAAGAGGACAAGTAACCTTGACAATGAAGAAAGAAGAAGATATTCTAAAGTCGGACTCGCAGGTCAGTCAAGGAGTAATCCACACTGCAACGAACCCATTCGTTCTGGCGTTCCGCCAAAACAAGGATATTGCTTCATTTTTGGATGAAAGAGAGAAAATAGAAAAAGCAGCTAAAGCAATTCCAAGCAGTGAGTCCAGTATTCCTGAAGTGTTGGATGAAAAAGCAAGCAGCGAGGAGGGAACTCTTGGTGTCCCTGCAGCGGTAGATGAAACTGTTGAAAATGGTGGTGCTTCTTCAGGGAACCAGGAAAGCCCAGTTTCTAGTACAATTGAAACACTAGAAACTACAGAACAAACCATAGAAAAAGAAGAGGTGAGTTCTGATATCTTGGCGCCTGAAGGGAGTACATCTACCACGGATGGAGTGGAAAATGCAAGCGCAGATTCTTCTAGTGAAATAGCTAATCACACGTCGGCTTCAGAAATTCCAACAGGCGAAGAGGTTATAGAGCCTCAAGTGGATGATACCGTAGCAAAAGGTGAACTGCAACCACCTACTTCAGAGAGCGAAATTCCTTCTGCTGCACTAGAAACTACAGAACAAACAATAGAAAAAGAAGAGGTGAGTTCTGATATCTTGGCTCCTGAAGGGAGTACATCTACCACGGATGGAGTGGAAAATGCAAGTGCGGATTTGTCTGGTGAAATAGCTAATCACACATCGGCTTCAGAAATTCCAACAGGCGGAGAGGTTATAGAGCCTCAAGTAGATGATACCATAGCAAAAGTTGAACTGCAACCACCTACTTCAGAGAGCAAAATTCCTTCTGCTGCACTAACTGAAGAACCAAAAGGTTCATAACTAAGTTTTTTTATTTAAGTTTAGTGTTTACATTCATTCAATTGAATTCCAAAATTTTGCTCCAAGTGTGAGATGGTAACAACAAACATTAGATGCCTATAATGTGCAAAATAATATGCTATTATGTGACCAAATATGCTCAAACTTTGCATAATTTAACATTTAAACGTTGAAACACTCATGCTATAGAGACATATTGTCTTTTTTACAACAAAATTAAAATGTAAAAACACAGATGGAACAGAAAGTGATAGAACTTCTGATCCCTCTGGAGAATTAGCTGATGATGACGTCCTTTTGACAGAAAATGAGGCCACCAAAGTTGTAGAAGACCTAGCTGACAACATTACGGAGGAAGCTCGGATTCGAACATCTGCTGCTGAGAGTGAATTGCCTTCTATCACACAAGTGGAAGATGACAAAGTGGACAGTTCTCCCGAGAAGAATGGCAGTGTTTCTAATTCAAGTGGACAATCTGACAATCCTTCCCCGAAGGAAAGTAAACCTAAAGGTTGTTTTGCCTGATCATCTTGCTCATTTTAATGCAATTCATAAAGTACTACAGTAAACCAGGTAAACCAACGATTAAGGCCTGAAAACTGATGGCATATGGTTCATGGAATATCATGTACAAGGAGATCCGAACACTTTTTGCTTTCAATATGAAAATTAAACCATTGAAAACTATGAGGATCTGGACTAAATTCTAGGAAGAATATGTGTAGGATAGGGTAAAGGAATGAATGGTTATATTGATTTGTTGGGTTGAATAATATATATATATATATATATATATATAGATATTGTTTTACTGTGCAACACCATGTTCCATCTGATGCTGAATAATGTTGCTAGTAGGTGAGTGAGGATGAATAAAATCCTCTTAAACATGTTGAAGGATTCTGTTGAGTTGTTGATTTTCCGGTTCACATTGCAATTGCGGTCTTCTATTACAAGATGTATCTGCCTGTAATTGTATGTTTTTATATGTGGATTACAGCTACTATATCACCAGCCCTTGTAAAGCAGCTGCGTGAAGAAACAGGAGCTGGAATGATGGATTGCAAAAATGCTTTGTCAGAGACTGGCGGGGACATTGTTAAAGCTACGGAGTTCCTCAGAAAGAAAGGTTTAGCAAGTGCAGAAAAGAAAGCCAGCAGAGCCACTGCCGAAGGAAGAATAGGTTCATACATTCACGATAGCAGAATAGGTATCTTGCTAGAGGTAAACTGTGAAACAGATTTTGTTTCTCGGGGTGACATTTTCAAGGAGCTGGTTGATGATTTAGCCATGCAAGTGGCTGCATGCCCTCAAGTACAGTACCTTGCTACAGAAGATGTTCCTGAAGAGTTTGTGACCAAGGAAAGAACGATTGAGATGCAGAAAGAAGATCTTTTGTCAAAGCCGGAGCAGATTAGATCAAAGATTGTTGACGGGAGGATAAGGAAGAGGCTTGAGGAGCTGGCATTGCTTGAGCAGCCTTTCATTAAGAATGATAAGGTGGTGGTGAAGGACTTGGTCAAACAAACCATTTCAACCATTGGAGAAAACATAAAAGTGAAGAGGTTTGTGCGCTACAATCTTGGAGAGGGCTTGGAGAAGAAGAGTCAGGATTTTGCTGCTGAAGTGGCTGCCCAAACTGCGGCAAAACCAGTGGCCACGGAAGTAAAAGAGCAGCCTGTTGTAGTGGAAGTCAAGGAAACTGTTGAGAAGTAAGCAACTGCTTTCCATCTATCATGTCTTGCTTTTATATTAGTCTCTAATACTGGGTCATTAATATAATAAATTGAATTTTTATTACGTTCTGTGGTAAAAACGAGAGTTCCAACACATGCCAATATGGATGTATATTTTGTGTATGTCACTGAAGTGTATTTAACAACATATTGCAGGGCACCAACTGTAGCCGTCTCTGCCGCTTTGGTTAAACAACTACGCGATGAAACTGGAGCAGGGATGATGGACTGCAAGAAAGCTCTCTCCGAAACTGGAGGGGACCTTGAGAAGGCACAAGAGTACCTGAGGAAGAAGGGTCTTTCTTCTGCTGAAAAGAAATCCAGCAGGCTTGCTGCTGAAGGCAGGATTGGATCCTACATTCATGACGCCCGCATTGGAGTTCTGATTGAAGTAAACTGCGAGACTGACTTTGTTGGTCGAAGTGAAAATTTCAAGGGGTTGGTTGATGATCTAGCAATGCAAGTCGTGGCCTGCCCTCAGGTGCAATATGTATCCATCGAAGACATTCCGGAGAGCATTGTGAACAAGGAAAAAGAGCTTGAGAGGCAGAGGGAGGACCTTCTGTCGAAACCCGAGAACATTAGAGAGAGAATCGTGGAGGGGAGGATCTCAAAGAGGCTTGGGGAGCTGGCTCTTTTAGAGCAAGCTTTCATTAAAGATGACAGTATTTTGGTGAAGGACCTAGTGAAGCAGACTGTTGCTGCTCTCGGTGAGAACATAAAAGTTCGCAGGTTTGTTCGGTTCACTCTCGGGGAGGCAGTTGAGACAGTTGAGGACACAGAAGCTGAAGCATGAAGAAAAGATAAAAACTTCGAGTTAGAATCGAGCTGAAGAGAGGATAGGAAGGTTGGCGAAACTAATTTTAGACGGAAAGAGAGAGTTTTGTTTTGGTTTCAGTCTCCATCTGCAGCTTAGGGCTGATCGATGTGTTGCACGGTCGGAAAGAGACTTTTTTTGTTCTACCAGTGATGGAAATACAGTTCTGTTGAGGCATTTTGAAACAAAAAAGTGTATAATCTTTACATGAAACTCAAATCTCTTTATAAAATGCAAGGAGCTTGTAGCTGAGTTGTTCGATAAGAACTTCACGTCCTGCACCCGAGGTCTTGAGTTCGAGTCTCCATCTCCAATATCGTTTAAATCAGAATTGATAATGCTTCTGATCCAATTTAAGAACAAGATTACGGATCTAATCAATGTGATGGAAACTATTGAATCTCATCACCGAATTTCTACGTGCCATTAAGCTTGGAAGATTACAATCTAAAGGGTGAAGAATTTTGTTCAACTGTTACGGAAGGTAACAAGAAGTCCAATAAAATTTGACGAAAACAGAGCAAATTCCTACATCAACTTTTATATGCGTGTTTGTTCACCTTTTATACAACTTACGAGACCTCGGGCCGAAAAATAAAAATGCACCATATATCATCTCGATGTGGTGCTAGATACTCCTGGGAACGAATCGCCACAAGTCCACGGCAATATCCACCTCCCTTTTCTTGTGAAATTTGTACAGCTGTGGTACATCGTATCGAAGCTGAAAAACAAAGAAGACGACAACTTTAATATCACGTCAACAACAAAAGCATGCGCACTGATGTCTTTAAACAGATGATCACAGTGGCGCAATGACAATTTGAAGATAACTATTGTTACCCACCTCACATATAACTTCAGCACTGCTCGCACTGAAGTTCTGCAAGGCTGCCCTTTTCACATGCTGCAATTTACCAAAAGGGAAGTGGTCTCATCATGTGGTCACAGAAAGAACCCTCCAAATTAAGGGTATCAGAAGGTAAATTATAATTGCATGTCAACGCAAGACGTGTGTAAGTGACTTACATCTCTCGTGGAAGTCTTGTGCAAGGAATAAACTGCTTGAGAAGCAACCTGACAAACGAAACAATATGAGGAAACATTTAGAACAAACAAGATAGAAGATATTCAACTTAACCTGACCCAGCATAGTAACTGCTACCAACCGCATTACATGACAAAAGAAAATCAGAGATCAGCTGATGCACTTACCTTCAAAGCTATTGAGAGGAAATCCATGTCAGCACCCTTATTCCGAGTTCCAAATGGAGGATTCATTACGACAGTATCAACAACGCTAGCTATATTAAGGATAAGGACCATTAGACGAAGATAGAATTTGAAGGTTTATGACTCTAATTGAAACATGAAATTCTAAAAAACGCATAACAGATATCACATAGATATTCCCAAAACATAAAACTTTGAAGGGAGAAAGGAGCCAAAATTTCACTGAAGACTGTATCAAACAGAAAAGAACCAACACATGTATGCTTACGTATAAATTGTTTCTGCTACAAATACATACATATAAAGGCCACTGAACAGTAGGGTTCTCTTACCTCTCCATCCTAAGTTCTTAATGTTGCACTGAATAAAATCCATGTCCAACTGCGGGATTACCAACAGAACAACATATTAGACGAACAGCACGAATGCACAAAATGATTCAATACAGCAAATTGTCGGAGCTATTTTCATCCATGAAATGCCTATTTCTATTAAAGACAAATATATAATTACTAGCCAAAGCCATATTACTGCATAAAATCGGTTATATGAATACATCTTCGAAGCAGAGCAAACCATAAAAACTATAAACATCACTACCGTAGAAATCAAGGAAGTAACAGTACCTCAAGATCCTCGGCATTTTCCGCTGCTATTTCAAGCGACTGAGCATCGATGTCAATGCCAATCACCTGTCTGTTCAAAGCAAGAACACATTAAACCGACAACAAAAATGAACACAAAATTCACAAACTTGATCGGTAATACCCATCAATTTCGACTAACAATGTTAAAAGGGCTATCGAATTTCAACTAATACTCAAATAAAAACCACATTGGAAAAGATGAAACTCACTCTGCGCCCAAGAGTGCAGCTGCAACACCCAATGTGCCACAACCGCAACCGAAATCAGCCACTACCTTCCCACTCACGTCTCCGAATGAATTCTCCGCCTAATCAATCGAAAACCCACGTTACCAACGGGACGAAATAAACCCCAAATTCAAGAATTTAGCAGAATAATCAATACTTTAAACAAAAAGTTAGAGACTTTGAGAAGAACCAATGAGCTAGTTAATTAATTTAATTTAGCCTATGAAATTTCAGAGAAACAAAAAGGAGGGAATAGGGAGCAGAGCAATTACAGTGAAGAGCATGCGAGAAGCAATGTGGGGTCCAGTTGGGTATTGCTCCAGCTCCACCTGCAGTGAAGAAGAATATCCATCCCATCAGTATTCAGTTTCTGTGTGTTTGAGAGAGAGAGAGAGGAGAGAGAGGGACCTTTGGATTGGAGAACTGTTGGAGACCGCCAAGGTGGCCTTCCAACTGCTTCAGCTTCATCTTTCGCTTTGAGGGGACGAAACGCCGGGGAGAAGCGAAAGATTCCACCCTCCCAAAAGTTACTTGTCCCCCCACTGTTTTTCCCCTTTTATTTCTTCCCTGTAAACCCTAATTTTAACGATTTTTCAATATAATTATTAAAATGTGATGTAATTCAATTCTATTCTTTTAAAATGGTCATGATTAGGAATGAGGAAATTTAAGGTAAAGTATAATGGCCGTAATTGAAGATAAAATGTTAAGGTGGTTTGGATATGTGAAACGAAGATCTATGCGACAGAAACTCAAAGTAAATGAGATAGAGATAGAAAAGGCAGGAAGACTTGGAAAAAAAGACTTTAGAAAAAAAAAATGAAGTACATAGAGTTAATGGAAGACTTGACGTAAAACCGAGTTCTATAATTCATATAGCCGATCCACTTAATAAGATAAAACGTTGTTGTTGTTGTTGATAGAGTTCAATTCTTCTATATCTTAAAATATGATACCTTGTTGGTGGAATTTTTGTAAGGAACTTTAACGAAAAGCTCTGGTACTGTTCACTTTAACGAAAAATCATATTTTTACACTAAAATGTCAATCCTTGTACTATTTATTTTACCTTTTATTTTGTCATTTTCGTTAAAACTCAAAGTTTTCATGTCATTTTCATTAATTTTCCCATTTTATTAATCCTTCTCATTTTTCTTGTAAAATTTTATTTTGACCTCACAAGCACCTGGGATAAACTAGCTTTATTTATTTATTTAGCTAGTTTGTAAGTTTTATAGAAGTACAAATATTACTTTAGGATTAATTTTGATAAACTTTATAAGGTTTAAATGCTACAACGGTCTCTGTGTTTGGACACCAACACGCAGTGTTACCAATTCCTCAGTTCAATCTTTTGGTTGTTATTTGCGAGAAGAGTGATTGTAATACCGGCAGTGTTCCCAATTCGTCCATGTTACCAATCCCGAGTCCAAACACAGAGACCCTAAACCCTGAAATATAAACATATCATACACTCGTATTATAATACGTGAATGAGTTTTTATCACAAATGATCATTGAAATTGACCCACCCAATTAAGATGGTCTTTAAAATTAAAAATCAATCAATGTAGTCCTTGAAATTGGATGTCGCAAATCAATGTAGTTCTTCCGTCACAATTCCGTTAAAAATTATGTTATGTACTGATGTTACACGTAATTGAATTCTACAATATAATAAAATATTGTCATGTGGATTAAAAGTATTTAAATAATAATTAAAAAAACTATTTTATATAATTAAAAACAAAAAACAAAAAAGAGAAAAAGGAAGAAGAATGTCATCTTCTTCCCCTCCTACCCAGCGACCCACCATTCTCCTCCCCTTGAAACGGCACTGTCGCACCCCTTTCCCGCAGTCCTCGTGTTCGCCGGTGACGGTAATTCGAAAAAACTTCCTCGATATTGCTCGACCTAAGATGATGGCCTGCACCTCGAAATGAAACAGAACCTGGCTTATCTTGATATTGTGAAACTCCATCATCTGTCGCGGCCTAGATCTTTTCTCTTCTGTGACTTTGTTACCTTCTTTTCTTCATGGGGTGACCTACCAGATTTGACAGCTTTTGGGTCTTTCAATTTATTCTTCGAGGACTCATCTGGTTCAATAGAGCCAAGTCGCCCAGTAATGCTCTGTAAGACAAGTTCTGTAGCAACTGATTCTGCCACAGTACAGACGTTCTTCTTAACTCTCTGGTTGGACTACCACCAACTGTTGTCTTTAGGTTTTGCAATTTTGATTCCTGCACAGATGAATCAGGTCAAACAAAAAGATCTAACAAAAGTGCAGTGTAGCTTTAAGATCACATGCAACCAGGAAATAATATTAGGGAGAGTAATATTAGGTGTCAGTAAGAATAGCGGGTAAATTTTTTTATAGCAGAAATACAATGCATATCGTTATTTCATTGAGTCTTATAGGCTTGAAGCCATTTGAAAATACATACTATATATATGTTAATATATGCAAGGGGCAACACCAAAGGTATTCATAGATATTTATCGGGTTTTTGTATGCCTGAAGTCGGTTGGAGGGTATGTATGAAGTCAACTTTAATCTTCAAAATGGTAGCACTTAAGGTATCCATGAACATTCATCGAAATTTAAAAGATCAGCATCTAAGATATCTATAGACGTTAATCGAAGTTCAATGGATGCCGATCCCCTTGCCCCTTAATGGATACGCAAAAAAATAATCGAACACAATAATATCTCTATATCTATTCTAGTATAACATCAAATGTTGATTTAAAGTAACCGTACAACAAAAAAATAAATAAAAAAAAGGCATCCATTAATCTGTTATAATGATAATCTAGAAAATAAGGAAGCGGTAATCATATTGTTTCATAAAAAAACTAGCCCAAAAAATTAAAGGAAAGAAGAGAAGGAATCTCACTTGCACAGGATCTGCATGAAAGGAGGACTGACCGGTAGCAGGGGCAGAGGCATTTGCCTTGGATAAGGCCTCAGACTCTACCGCTTAATGCAGAAATCTCTGGGACTAATGAGCATTTCTTCACACGTTTTGCACCAGCAGTTGTTGAAACCTTCCAAACTTCCTGCATGTGACCAATTGGACAACCATTTATACCTCTGAAAAGTTCTAGCAGTCACAAATTTCAAATCAGTAACATGTCCAACATACCTGCCGTCTTTGTGAATCTTGTCATGATCGAGCAATATCGAGGAAGTTTCATTTCGAATTACCGTCACCGGCGAACACGAGGACTGCGGGGAAGGGGTGCGACGGTGCCGTTTCAAGGGGAGGAGAAATGTGGGTCGCTGGGTAGGAGGGGAAGAAGATGATGAACAGTCATCATCTTCTTCTTTTTCTCTTTTTTTGTTTTTAATTATATAAAATAATTTTTTAATTATTATTTAAATACTTTTAATCCACATGACAATATTTTATATATTATAGAATCCAATTATATGTCACATCAGCACATAACATAATTTTTAACGGAATTATGACAGAATAACTACATTGATTTGCATTACCCAATTTCAAGGACTACATTTATCGATTTTTAATTTCAATGACCATCTTGATTGGATAAGTCAATTTAAAGGTCCATTTGTGATAAAAATCCTGCGTGAATTAATAACATCACTGGTTAGAATCGGTGCGGCGGTCATACTCAAACTTACCCCTTTTTTTGGCAAGTCTTGCAATACAGGCTACAAAGCAAAACCAAACTAGCATTCCAATACCGCAGTTAATTCCACTGCTTTATGTAGAGACATGGTCCTGATGGAATTGCCATGGCAAACAAACCATTTTTCATACACAATACAATTACTTCAAGTAGCCAACTATCAGAAATACAGGAGAGAGAGGGAAGAGAGAGAGAGAGAACTAATTAAACTACACCAGTTTGCATAAACATATTTCCTACTAGAATTTCATATTTTGTTACACTAAACATTCAATATTTTAGAAGCATAAGTTGATAAGAAACAGAGTGCCCGATTTTGCGAACCGTTCAGTGCCTTTCACCTCGATCATAACAGCAGCTCTCTCCAACCTCCTTTGCTCAGAGTATTTGATCCATTCATGGTTGATGAGATGGCGCTAATTACTATTTTTGCACTTCTGCATGGCCCTTGGGGCTATAAGAAATAGATAGAAAAACATGAGGATAATGCTAGCTAAGGATTTCATTTCGCAAACAAAAGCCAAAATCACCATGCCATCATGAAATTTTTCGGTATTCTGTTTGTGCAAGAATACAACTTAGAAAGATTAAAACCGATCTTCATAGTGATAGACATGAAAAGAAATGAATTAGATGGAAAAAAAATGGATCACCGAAGATACCTAGACCGATAGCCTCTGAACTCTTCATGATCCTCATCCTCTTACACGAGTCGGTGAACATTCTAGAAGAACAAACAGTCACAAAACTAAGATGCGATCCTCAATTAAGTGAACATTCTTGCATGGAGAAACCTCCTTTGAAAAGCTATTCTATTTGGTACTATTGTATGTTTCTTGGAATATGAACGGGTAATTTGCAAATTGTGTGAAAAATTCACTTACTCCCAGGGAACATCACCAACTAGCATCCAATCACCATCCTTGTCTTCATAGGTGAGGACATATTCAGCACCATGTAGGAGGTCCATCAATCGACTCTCGCTCAATCCATCCCTTGAAGCTCCATGTGAACCACATTGACCTGAACAAGTTTTCAATTAAAAGATAAAATAAATAAATCGGAATTTGTTTCAAGTTCGATCAGGATTTATTCTTGTCTATATGTATTGAAATATCAACTAGTTGAATTACTTATACCCAGAGATATGCAAACATTCGACCCAACTCTTGTAACGAATCTACATTTTTGATATTCCAACTAAAGAAGGAACAAAACAACTTTCTTGTTAAGGTAAACATTCTTCCAATTGTTCTCGTCTGATCCTAGCTTCTTAAAGACGATTTGAATCACATAATACTACTGCCGGAAGGGGAAATTTACGGCAGGTGAATACGGACAGAGGATGAGTTACAAAGATAAATTACCAATTGTGAAGCAGCTGAACATCTTTTCCAGAGCTAGAGATAAATCCAGATAGCTGCCATAGGTTTTGAGATCAACTTTCCTCAGGTACGGTGCACCATCCATGCTGACCTTAACATACAGACACCCTGCTCCCATCTTGCCTTCTGCATCATCACCATTTTTTGAAGGAACGGAAGCCATTGAATTCTTCCTAAAAGAACGAATTGGTGGCCATCCTACAACCTGTGCCCTGTAACACACGACATAAAACAAGTTAGAATTTACAAACAATATCTTAAATAAGATTTGCTATAACTTCGCACTATCCAATCTACGACTATATAAAGTACATAACGGCGCAATTTTGGGTCAAGAAGTCCATAAAGCAGTAAATTCAAAACAATGAAACCAAGGTAACAGATTAAAGACTTGGCTGGGAGCCTTGCACAGACGAAAAACTCTTGCTGTTCTGAGGCAAATTTAGAAACATGCGTGCAACGAAACAATTGAAATTAACACAATCTTAGGCCCTTCTTCCAAACATGGAAAGGGAACTTTTATGCAACATGAGAAATGTAACAACCAATCTACAAAATAAAGAGCAGGCAAAACCAACTCTTCAATTTAACCTGAACAGACAAAGAAAATCCCCACAATTTTCTCTAGTACTACTAATTAATAAGATATGAACAAAAATTAAAACCCATCAGAAATATAATACCACAATTCAGCAAACAAAATATTCATCTTTCTGCAGAAAATTTCTCTAAAGATTAAAGAAAGAAGAAAAGGGCAGAGAAAGAAAACTAATTACTTTGCAGCAGGGGCAGTAGACCCAGCAGACCCTTGGGATTTCTTCTCATGCAATGGCTTTGGAGATTGTTGGACACCATCTTTCACAGCAGAGCCAGCTAAACCTGTTGGTTGATTGCTGGGTTCACACCCAGCAGCAAGAGCTTTCCCAGCATTCACACCTCTGGGAGAGAGCAAGTTCCCACCTTTGCCTAACTCCACCTCAGATCCACCACTCCCAGAGAAAACCCACTTCCCAGAAGCTCCATCAATGGCGTCTGAGAAGCCCCTCTTGGCCCCAGACACCAACCCCTTAACCCCACAGACTGAAAACCCAGTAGCCTTCTCCTCCACCCCACTACCGCCGCCGCCGCAGCCGTCTCTCTCTGGAGACTGAGAGCCAGGCAAACCCAGCCTCAGCTCAGTGGCTTTGAGGTTCAAAGCAGCAGACTTGGTAGAGGTTTCCATTGAAGGAGATAAGCCTATATAATCATGCTCCAAAGATATAGACATCAAAATATATCAACCCAGAAAGCATTAATGGATTTAAAACCAGAGAAATTAAAAGTTGAGGGCTTTTCTTTCAGATTAAATTAGTGTTTTGGAGAAGAAGATGAAGAAAATGAGAAGCTTTCTTTGGGATTTTGCTGCTCTCTCTCTCTCTCTCCTGTTTGTATATAAAATACACACACTTTCTCTCTCAGTACTCAGTACTCTGCAACAGATAAAATTAGTAAAAAAAGAATTATAAATAAAATAAAAAGCAAGGAAAATGTGGGAATTATTAAATTAAAATTGAATTAAAATTGAATAGACAGCTTTTCTTTTTGGTCGATTATTAAATAGACAGCTTGAGAAATAAAAAGTGCCTACCTTTGGGTTTGGCTTTTTTTAACAATAATAATATAAACCGTTTTTTATTCATATTTCCCCCCAAACTTTTGATGTTTACTCAATTTGGTCTTTTAACTTTATTTTGTCTTAAATTAGTTCTTAAACTTTTGTGTATGCCTGATAATAAAGTAATTTTTGTCACAAAAATTGGCAGAATAGCACGTGATCACTTTATGAATATCTACTTGCTCAAATGCTCACTATTTATTAGCACACGACCACTTTTGTATAATGAAACATATCAAACCAACCAACTCAAATCGATCAGTTGGTTTGGATGTTTTACCTCTAGAAAATTGAAGATATAATTAACCATGGAGTTTGCTCGAAACAAAACACAACCAAATTGAACAACTACAAAAAATTGTGGCAACTTTTATAATTACCATCACTATAACAATATTGTCCTTTTCTTTTCATAATCACTATCGACCTCATTTACCACATTTTTTTAAATATTTAAGACGAAAAAAGTTTGAGGCCCAAAGTGAAACCAGTCCCAAATTTCAAGGGACAAATTTATAATAACCAAATTATAATTTTCTGTAAGAACCTTTTTTTGGGGCAACCAGTCCGACAGGTCACAGAAAGTTCCCGGCAAACTTTCCTTTTCTATTATTTATTCCAATTTTATATTATTCCCCAATATTAAAATTAAAAAAAACTTCGCAAAAATAATAGAAAATTTGGTATCCGCGAAGTGAACGTGTGGCCGGCAATGGGAAATTACGGAAAGGGATGGGACTGGAAAAAACAGTCGGAATTTTCAAGGCGGATAGGGAAATCCCAAGCGGGGGGGATTGTTTTGGCGGATACGGTGTTTGGGTTGGGAGAAAGAAAGGGAAAAGTCGGGTGGGAAAGTGAGAGAATTTGTGAGAAAGCTGACACCGATGGAGATGCTCGAAACGCCCAATTGGAAAAAAAAAAAAAAAAAAAAACAGGGAAAAAGACTGCAGTTTGATGAATTGGGAAGAGAGTTGGGTTGATGGGGAAGTGACTCTCTGTGATTTGTGTTTGTACGTCCCGGCAGCTGGCTGTCGTTTGGATGCTCGGAAAAGTTTGAAAACTTTCCCGGAAAATTTTGACGGGAGAGACGGGTGGCTGAAAAGAAGGCACACTTATTTTTACGGGAAAAACAGCACAGAGACAAAAGAAAAAACAATAAATGTTTCTTTTTGGATTTTCAATGTCACAAGTTAATCTGCTAACCAAGAAAAAATATTGGAAAAGGTAAATGAAACGAATTTTTATTTCTTTTTTGGTTGCGGGAAATTTTATTTAGTGGAACGAACGCGTTAGTTATTTAAATAGTTAGTTATTAGAAAAATGAAGGGATTTATAAACAATTATTTTTTTGTTAAAAACAAATATCATCTTATAAAAAGGTCTTCAATTCTATTAGGCTCATTTTGTCACTTAATATTATACAAGCTCAATTTCTCTCTTTTTTTCTTGTAACGTGAAACTCTATCTCATTTTTTCTCGTAACGTGGAACTTTGTTAACAAATCATTAAAATGGTTTAAGTGGTATAAATAAGACCTGTTGTTGTTGAACCAAAATTTTTATTTTACTTGTATTGACAAAAGAATTTTTAATTAATTTTTGTTAGCCATATGACATTTATGTGACTTATATCTCAGTAACAATTTGTTTTTATTTGTGTCGCATAAACTGTTCTGATGTATTTATGATAGAATTTGACAATAGGAGGGAAAATGAGACTCAAATTGAGTTTTAGAATACTAAGCAGTCAATGGCGGAGTTATGAATTTTTCACCGGTTGGGCTAGCTTAAAGATTTAAATCTTTATAAACAAAAAATATTGATACTATTTTTCACTGTATCGGCTAACTTTAGAAAATATTCATAAGGCGAGCTAAGAATTTTCATTATTGAACTAATGTGTTAAAATTTAAACTTGTACATGTACAAAAAGCAATGAGAAAAAGAAAAAGTGACAATTGTAAACTATATTATATAATTAAACCGAAAGAATTCGAATTAGTGACCAAATATATGGTATGCTATATTAGAAAATCAATAAAGATTACATGTAAAATTTTAATTTTCACTGAAAGCTACTTGGGCTATAGCCCAGGGTAGCCCTTAACGTGGCTCTGCCAGTGTAAGTGGCAAGACTTGAGTTTTAAAGAGTTAAGTGAAACTCGAGTTGAATTTTAGAGAGATTAGAGAAATTTAATTTAAGCTCATACTATTACGAAATAATTCACGTATATTAATTAATCATCAAATTTGGGTGCAAAGATGCACATGATGAAAATATTATATATACTGCTCTAACTAATTTAACTAAACCACAAAATACAAAATACGACATTTTGTGCTTGTATATTTCAATTTTTTTTGTTTGGTAAAAAAAAAGGATATTTTAGAATTCCAAATATGTGCGTTTCCCGTCAATCAAATTGGATATTTTCGTAGAGGAAGTGATTGGACGGCACTAAAGTTTGCACGGTTACAAAGAAGATGGGTTGGTGGGGGACAAACGGCGTTACGCTTGTGGTGTTCCTGTGGATGCCACTACACATTAAAGCAACCGGCAACTCGTTCGCAACAAGTCCCGCTCAATTCTTTTTTCTTTTTTTTTCTTTTTGTTTTTTTTTTCCGGTAAAGTGGCATTTTATCATAGTTGAGTCTTTGCATGACAACAGGAGTTCAAACTCTGAGCTAATTTAATATCTTATATAACAAAATTTATCATTAAAAAAAAAACCTTTTTAGTAATTTCTTCTATATTTTCAAAACACAAAATTTACATATCTAATTTCATCATTATTTTTCTGGTAAATATCTTTATTAATTTTGGGTAAAGGTCAATTTTCTGTTTTGCTTTCCTTCTAACCTTTGCATGCAAGGAATTTCATTGATTTTGAAACCAGTAAATTTCAATGATCAGTATATGTTTTGAAGTAACGATATATTTCCATTAACATGTATAAATTTGTCATGGATCACATTGTACGACACTAATAATTTGGTATTAAACTACGATCCACATAAGTCAAGCTCAAGGTTTTTCATTTAAAAGTAAAAGGGAATAGTTTTAGATCGCAGTGTTAAATGACATTCTTTGATTTCTATCATATTAAAAAAATCCATGATTTTATTCATGATAGAACCCCTTTTTGTGGATTGAGATCCACTTCAGATCTCTGAGTCAGAAGCATATAGATCAAGAGATCTACACTACTCAATTTCAATAATACAGCCCTCATTAATCATTTCACTGACCCATTTCACAAAAATACAATAAAAACTTTAACTACCTAATATCTTTCTCTCTCTTCAATGATCTGAATCTTTCGATCCGCTAGCTCTGAACATAAAAATTCGGAGTGGATCTCATCCTCCATTTTGTAACACATTTTTTTTTTTTTTGAACAATCGTGTTTGTAACACTTTGAGAATGAAGTTTTGTGTTGTGGGGTCACCAACCAAATAATTGAGTGGAAGTTGCAATTTATTAATGTTCTAATCCAAACTTATCCGGAAGTTGATAAGCAGAATTTCTTCAACTTCATCCCAAGCATTGGAATTTTGTCAACAATTAGGATAATTCTAATTTTTGATACTCTAACTGGTGTTGATGATGATATATCATGCTAAAGCACTTACCAATGAAGAAATAAACACCATAATGTAAGCCCGAATTTCTTCTTCACCTCTTCCTCTATATAAAATATTTTCAAAATTTCCGCTTTGTTCTAAATAAATATTATTTCTGCTTTTATATTTAGGAAATTAATGAAAAAGACTTGAAAACTTTGAGTTTTAACGATAAGGACAAAATAAAGGGTAAAGTGAATAGTATCAGGATTGATTTTTTAGTGTAAAAATGTAATTTTTCGTTAAAATGAACAGTATCCCGAATTTTTCGTTAAAACTCCCTTTATATTTCCCAATATAATATAGTAACCCCCTTCTCATTTCTCGAGTACAATTTCTCTTTAAATTTTTACAACGGATGGACGTGTGATAACTTTTTTGAAACGTTAATAACATTTTTTAACTAGGAGGAAACATGTTTTGTAGTTGTAATAATTTCGCATTTTCTTTTTTCAAAATGATGAACATGTTGAAAGAAAATCTCACAAAGAGGACCTACAATGTTAGGTGGGCCTCATGTACCAAACTTGTTGCCTCTTGTTGGTGGGCCTCCGAATGCTTTGGCAGTAGTGTGGTTTTATAGAGCAGTGTTGGAAAAACGATAGTGGTTTCCAAGCAGCCAAAAGCAATCTCCACTCCCTTTCAAGTTTTAATCACAATGCCTTAAAACTTGCTTCACATCCGTAAAGCGCAGTTCACGTGATTAAGAGCGTTTATCTTGCACTTCATATGATTAAGAGCGTCTGCTTGTCCGCTGAACGACTCGTGTTCGAATCTCTCTTCCTTAACACCGGTTGTATAAAAAACTGCACATGAATCACATCCCTGGTGAGATGTGATATACTGTGCTTTTCTCTTGGTGTTTGGCCAAGCTCAACTGGTGAACTATCTCCATATTTTTGGTGGTGATTGACAGGTTGTGGGTCCACAGTGCCCTGCACTTTTGCTACGGTGATGCCATGAGATAAGGTATAGCTAGGCCCTCCACCAATATGAGGGATTCTAATCTTTCTCCTCAATACTTAAATTATAGGGCATCAGTATTTCGGATGGTGGACACAACTGCATGTCATGATCATCACAGTTTTGAATCCTTTTAGTGCCATGGTCAGTCAATCTTAATACTGTACAGCAACAATAACTTGATATGCGAGAAGAAATTTCATGCATTTGAGGCAG